AAATTGATGTGTAGAATTTTTAAAAAATTTAATTGTCTATGATGCTACAATGATTTATAATCAATTAAAATTATTAATTAAAAAAATAGAATAAGAATACATTAAATTATATTTAAATGATATTTTAATATAAATAATAAATTTAAATCTCGCCCCAACCCTTAACATTCTGCAGTTGTGTGTTTAGAGTAGTCAAAACGACTCTTTACTCGCGTTCTGCTCGTATTCGACTCACTAAGCAAACAAATTTTTGTTATCCAAATATAAACGAGGCAAGCTTGAACAGTGATACTTTCTAACGAGCCGAACACAAGCTGAACCTGAACTTATTCGTGTTCAGCTCGTTTACACTCCTGTTCATCAATGATTATATAAATTAATTCTTAGAATCCATTACACTATAATTATATAAATTAGGAAATTAAAATAAATAAAAATAAAAATATTTGGATGATTCGCATACAAAGGAATCCACTTATAATTACAATGGATCCTCTCAAATAAAGAATAAAATAATCATTCCAGCTTTACATATTTTGGACCTTATGAGATACATTACCACATGCATTATCTGACATAAAAATCATTATTTATACTTATAAGTCCATAAACTTTATAGTTATATTTGTTTTATTTATGATAAAATTGTTAAATATGCTGACAATTTGAACTTTTTTTTCGTAAATCTGGTATTTATTTATTTATTTATTTTGTGAAAGCATGTAGTATATTTTCATGTAAATAAATACATTTTCCCATAAATAAATAAAAAATGAATTATCATATTTCCCTTAATAATAATAACAATAATTTAATGCATAAAAAATTTAAAAATAATTATATAAATAATTGAAAAAAAATAATTAATTTAAATTATTACATAAATAATTGAAAAAAAAAGGCCTTGAAATTCTAAAAAAATTTTTTGTTGGTGTAACATTTATCTATTAATTGAATTTATTTTATAATATATACATTACAAGATATTATAGTTATCTTAAAATAAATTAATTGATTTTAAGAGTCATTATAATTAAAGTATATCTTTCAAAAAATATATTATCATTTGAGCCAATTTTTCCACTCAATACCATGATAAAGTCTTGGAAGATCTCCATACATACCACTCATTTCCCTTGGAGCTCATCTATAAATAGAGCCATTTTCAAGCCTCCTACATCCTCCCCAAAAATGGAGAAGAATAAGATAGCACAAGCAGCTCTATTTCTCACCTTCATAAACCTATCTTCCCTCCTCTGCTCCGCCTGCCCAACATGCCCTACTCCTGTTCCATCACATCCCCCTCCACCACCACCAAAACGGTCACCACCACCCCCCAAGCCCTCACTACCTCCACCATCAAATACACCCTGCCCCCCGCCTCCGCTGCCGCCAGCCACCCGCCAGCCACATGTCCCATCGATGCGCTGAAGCTGGCCGCGTGTGTCGATGTTCTTAGCGGGCTTATTCACATCGGCATCGGGCAGTCGGCCGACGAAACGTGCTGCCATAGACGCGCTGAAGCTGGCCGCGTGTGTTGATGTTCTTAGCGGGCTTATTCATATCGGCATCGGGCAGTCGGCCGACGAAACGTGCTGCCCCTTGGTGAAGGGGCTTGCGGGGCTCGATGCGGCTCTGTGCCTCTGTACTGCCATAAAGCTGAAGCTTTTGAACATAAACTTACTTCTTCCTATTGCCCTGGAGGTTCTCGTTGACGACTGTGGGAAGTATGTTCCAGCTAATTTCAGGTGCCCGGATTAACTAAACCCGACCGGCCAGTCCGACCGGATCGACTGCTGGTGCTAATTTGAACGCTTTGTGTCTTGTGGTGAGTTACATAAAAGTTATCAATGTGAAACTTATGAAAGAGATGGTTAAGTTTAATGTGTGTGTGTGCACGAGTATGAAATGAATTAGGTTCTGGTTTGTTGGTCAAAGTGTGATAATGATATGTAATAAATCGTGCATTTCAAAATTGTGATTTTTATGATTTTGAACTCCTTTTAAAGAATGATTCGAATGAAAATAATATGCGAAAAATGGGAAGAAAATAACTTTGCATGAGTTTGTTCATAAACTATTTTATATATCCGATCAAGACATCCAGACAACGCACGTGACATTCGAGTTCGTAAAAACTTGTCTAGAATCGAGCTCAAACAAATTTGAACTTAAGTTTTATTAACTGTTAAATGGTGTCAGAATTTTAAAATATATTTTGTAAAACATTAAAGTTGATTTAACTTTACATGCAAAGGAGATGTGGGCTTTGTGTGCAAAGGAGATGTGGGCTGGCAAAACTAGAGGAGTCACTTGTGTTGATGGTCCCAGCGATGATTGCCTGTGTGTTCTCTCTTATAAGGAAAAATACAAAATACATACAGCTCATCTCTTAGCCAATCAGTTGAGAGATTAGTTGCCCGTTTGGATTTATTTTATTTTTTATTTTTTAATCTTCAATTATATATATATATATATATATTAGTGGGGACGAAAATTAATAATTTCAAAAATGTCTTCAACTTATCTCATTCAGAAAAAGACAAAATTTGATGGTTATAAATTTTTTTTATTATTTTAATATAAAAAAATTATACATAAATGCTAACAAAAAAATATAAAAAATCTACATAAGATACCATTTTTCTATTTTTGTTTTTATATGTTTAACCAAATGTAAAATCATTTAATTTTCAATTTTATTAAATATGTTATTTCAACATCTACAATTAGATATTTTTAAATCCAATATACTTTGGATTATTATTATTATTATTTTATGAATAAACCACACATATATTTATTTATAATACTAATAAATTATTAGGAATATAATTAGTTCTTTTGTTCATAATTTGAAGCACTAATTTAGGGCCGAGTTTAAAAGAAACTTGTGTTTATATATATAAATTGTCCCGCGTTCCCCCACTATTTGTTTTGCATCTGTTATGTCAGCTCTAAGTTCCCTGGGGTCGAGGGTTCCATCACACATGAGGTTGGTTGGGGGCTCGTAGCATAGCCTTTGGCCAGTCTTATATATATATATATAACTGTATTCTATGCATTTCCACCTTCCTATTTTTCTCGGTTTGGCGTTCCACTTCTTTGACATCTGCGTTATTGTAGTCGGGGTAATCCGAAATGATTTACCTCTTTCCTTTATTCCTTTACTCTTTAAATCCTTTTATGCTTTTGATGAGTATAACTAGAGTTCATCCTGCCAATATATTGTTGTCTCTATGGTATCAAGCTACCTCCAACCCAAATACCCATAACTCCCTTTCGCAAGAAAAACGCTAGAATGACTGACTCAACAGATGATGACAAAGAGACCAGAACCAATCACAAAAAGTGCCTAGCAGGGTGTATGATTAACAAGTTACATATTTAAGGCTATACCCAATAACTCCCTTTCGCAAGAAAAACACTAGAATGACTGACTCAACAGATGACGACAAAGAGACCAGAAACAATCACAAAAAGTGCCTAACAGGGTGTATGATTAACAAGTTACATATTTAAGGCTTGTTTGATTTATAAATTTCCTTATTCTTATTTAGTTGTCACTATCAAGGAGTAAGAAAATTGAGGAACTTAACATGTATACTAAAAAATGGTCTACAAGGATCTCGAGGCAGTCTGGTATTCGACCACCTTATTTCAGTCAGCCGACAAACATGGACATGAAAGTCTGCATCGATCTCGAGCAATCCAACAGTTGAAATAAAAGGACTTAAATGTCATTCGCTTCTCTCTTCAAAGCATAGCCAAACATGTAATTTTTGTATCTTTTACCCCTCCTATCTCCTACAAATAGAATGACTTCATAATGTAAAGAAAAAAACTTCTTTGACGACACCCCTCATTTGTAACATCTAATTTTATAGAATAAAATGGGTTCACGAGCCGGTTTCCATCAGTCGGAAGAAGTCCTCCGCTCTCTCTCTCTCTCCCTCTCTCTCTCTCTCTCTCGAGCCGGTTTCCATCAGTCGGAAGAAGTCCTCTCTCTCCCTCTCTCTCTCTCTCTCTCTCTCCCTCTCTCTCTCTCTCATTTCTCTCACTCTCTTGCTCTCCTCCTCTTGGTCCAACGCTCTATTTCTTGGGCTCAATCTACCAGACAAATTTAGATCCAACACATACCATTAATAATGTATATATAGTAATGGCACATGTTGGTGACAGATGATTGCTCAGATGTTTAGTAATTAATGCAAATCAATCTTAGACCATTATTTTACTAATAATTTATGGAAAATGTTTTTGATGATCTTATTAGTGTAGAGAATCAAATTTTTTGATTTGATAGTATTACCAAAGAAATAGAGAGTACAAATGGGTCAATGATAAGAAGGCTATGGTTTTGAATTTCTCATGAAAAGACAAATAGGCTGAGTGCACGTAGGCTATGCTTTTAATTAAAATAGTGCTTAGGAGATAATTAAGAAATGTCAGGGCTATTTTGATTACAACTATTTTCTTAATAGGTTGAGTGCTCGAGCACAAAATATGGATATTCTTTATATTATTTCGAACACAAAATATGGATATTCTTTATATTATTTGCAACCATAAATTATGTATTCACACACATCTTGATCACAATTTTCGCTCCAAAAATTTTCTAATGAAATGAATTATGTCTGTTGCGTATCGAAAGATTCATGATAATAGAGTAATTATTTATTATTTGAATGTCTAGCACACACAAGTAATTGAAGTGATATATAAAGACACCAGAAGTTCTTATGTGGAAAATTAAAAAAATAGAAAAAAATCATGGGGCTTAGTTGTCTCAGAATGATCTATTAAAAATTGATGACTACACACTCAAGCCCTTATCCCACAAGTGGGAAATGATTACACAGTTCCTCGAAGTATGTATGTAGAAGGATTGGTTGTATGGCAGTTCAGAGCAGTTGAATTCGGGTGTAGTTGTCGGGACTTTGGTACACCTTCTTCAAGGTGAATCTTTACATGGTGTTCAAGATGATGCGATGCTCCATAAGGCACCCCATTACTCTACGACGTGGATCTTTACACTGCAGTGTTAGTCTTTAATCTGCACAATACTTCATTACTCGACATTGTACATCTCATCTCACGCAAATGGTTTTGTTGAAATGATCAGGGGGCGATTGGCAATGGTCAGAAATTAGTGGTTGACAGCAGTTAGAAACTCCATAAGAGAGAAGTGTCTGTTAAGTCTTCAGTTCAGAACATCATTGGAATTCAACTCCTTCTTTGCAAACCAGCTCTAGGTCCAGTTTTTCCTTTGGTTCTAGGACTAGGTCTCCTTTTATGAAAGAGGTAGAGCTTTATTTATAGAGTATGAGAGAGGCCTCCTATAAATAAGAAAGGAAGCCATATCACTCCATTGGATGACTCACAGAGATCCCCTTGATCGAAATACAATATATTGCTAGTGGTTTTATCAAACTAGAATCTCTTTTAATACAGTGGATTTGGAGAGTTTTGATCATATTGTTGAGAAAATTACATAGACCAGGTCTTCAACCTCCCTCTTGTCACGAGTTAAGAGTTACTCAACTTAAAAAAGATTTGCAATTAATTATGAATGATATGTAAGATAAAATAAATTGGGAAGAGAAATGATGCACTTTTATGTGTGATTAATGGACTGATCATAGAGAATAATCTATAATTTAATTTTTATTTAATTCACTTTTCGGTACTATATTTTTAGAGTCTATATAGATGCGACATTTGATTTGAATATAAGTTTGTCAGGTTTAGATTTCATTTAACATTCTAATTAGCCACTCAAATCCCCCAAAAGTGATTAATGGCTTGATCGGGCTTGATTTACTCAAATTGAGCAAATTTTGGTGTCATTGGGTTAGTTTCATCAATCCAGACAATTTGATAATAAGTTTGTTGAAAACAAAGTTTTGGATGAATTATAATTTGAGGTTGAATAATTCTTGCATTAAAAATACTTCGAGATTCATGCTAATTGCCTCAAGATTTGTGTCAAATGACAAAAAAAAAATTGATGACGCGTCAGTACCCCCCAATTTTTGGGCAATTTTGCCTGCTTATCTAAAAATCATCAAAATACTAAAAAATGGTCTAGAAATTCATAAAAAATAAAAAATTTCAAAGTTTTCCAACCGGCTTTGCTATGCTTCTACCACCACCATACATGCCAAAGCAGGTTGGTCGGGCCCTTAAACTAGCTAGCTGAGCCTAGAGTGTGGGATCCGATGGGCCAGAGTAGGTTGTATGGACCCACATGGAGTGTCGTGGGTCAACCAACTGAGTTGACTGAATAGTAGTTGGTGGCTTTCTGACACGATAATCCATGAGAAACGAATCAAATGGGCCACATTTGCGTGAAGGGTTGAATCAAACGATGTTGTTAAGGGATGCATGGCATGACCAGGTTTCTCTTAATTAGAGCCAATTAATGAACGGTGGGATCTTATTTTTGCGTGCATAATCGATTCAGTGGATAACAGTCCTACCACCACACCGATTTGCATGTTGCAACAATGCAGATGCTTAGTGTTCGGTGTGTAGATGATGTGTAGACCATGCGTGGGGTGTTAGCTTGAAACTTTTTTGGGCCTGATAGGGTGATGGACGCAAAGAGTTTGGGGTAGATCCAAATTTTTGCTCTTTTTAGTGAATTTTTAGGTTTTTTTATCCTATAATGAGTTGAAAAAAATTGAAGTCTCTCGGACTATTATTTTTTGATCAAAGGAGCTCCCTTTGCTTGCTAACTGAAGTCTCTCAGCCTATTTTTATGCAATCAACATAACTCCCTCAACATGCTAAATAGAGTTTCCTAACTTTTTTTGTGTAATTAATGAAGCTCCCTCAATCTATTAACTGGACTCTCCCAACCTATTTCTGTGTAATCAATGAAGCTCCCTCGGTCTACTAGCTTGTGTCCCCAACCTATTTTTATGCAATCAATGGAGCTCTCTTTGCCTGCTATTGCCAAACTCAGAATCTCCCAGCTTATTCTTGTGCAATC